TTTCAAGCACATTACGTTTATTACAGGGTTATGTTATGCAATCATTATACCACCAGAAAATTAATTTAGTTCTGTTATGAATAAGAAAATTAGATTATTCTAGTATTCCCTTCCTGCTGGTGTAGTGAGACATTGAGAGACATTTCCAGCTGCACCCAAACAGTCATATCCATACCTTACCATCAAAGAGTTAAGATAACAGATTAGTAAAAGATGCATGAAAGAGCCAGGCCTTCGGGGAAAGCAGCGGGGCTCGTGTGCGTGTACAGCCTAACACTGGGGATGCTTGCAGGGTTTCATCATTGTTCAACCAAAAGCAGCAGAGAAACACAGCAGTAAAATATGACAGACACACCATGATAAACCATCATAAAAACAGTAAACCGCTCATCACAGCCACGTCTGTTTATGAATGAGGACAATAGCCCTCATTGAGCTGATTTTGAACTCAACTAAAAAGCAAAAGAGTTCTTCAACCAAAGCAAAAACAAGCTGAACGTGAAAAAACACAGATGGAAGAGTCTTGGATAAAAGTGCAGAACCTGTTCATGTGTTCAGTGAAGGCCCTTTGCCCTCTTTTGACCTTCAGGATGTCATATTAAATTAATTATAATCTCCTACTGAAAAAAACCTTACAAATTCTAGTAGCAGACTGATTGAAGTAACAGGACAGATTTACACAGCATTATGAACTTGTCATGTTGTGCAGTCAGCTTGTAAACAGACTTGTGTCTCTGATCATTACCGAGACTACCGTAAAATCAACCATAGCACCATCTGCATTTGTGAGGAAATCTGCTTGGGCATTTTTTGTGAGGAAATCAAGCCAAGAGATCGCATAAAAGAGCGAGTGTCTCACAATCGAAACAGACCAGCATTTGAATGCACTAAATTTGGTATTTGTTCAAAGGTTACATGCAACGCGCACAGTAGGATTGCTTGTATTTGTGAAATATGATGCACACTCATGTATTTATATTTGTAAAGCACAATACGTTTATTTGTTACACCTCTGCGATTTCGCTCACTCTGACCTTTGTATTTGCAAATCGCTTTCTGTTTGTTTGCGAGTCGAGCTTTCCTTTGCAAAGCAGATCACGTTTGTTTGTTTAATTTCGGCACATTATTCACTCCATAATATACAACGGACCACAACAGCTTGAAGTTGTCTACACTGGATGCCACAATGTGGCCGTTGCAAAGAGCTTGGACTATGTCAGAAATGGCAGAGGATTTGTCGAGTTGCGTTGTGCCGCATCCAGTGTAAGCAATATCAGTGATTATAATGGGCTTTATTGTTGCTTCTCGCCGCGCCGCTCGCATTGTGTAAACAAAACACTACAACTAACACGGCGATTAGCCTGCATCACGGGCGGATTAAGGTTGTCAGGGGTCCCTAGTCTACTCTTTGTGTGAGGCCCCCCGTAATCATTATGCTTTACTGGAGAAATGTATTTAGTGCCATACATGATCCACACACAAATAGTAAGATGAACTGACACACACACACACACACACACACACACACACTGAGACAGTGTTTCTTCTACATTCCCAGTGTCTCCACAGGACTCTGTGAGACTGATGCACTGCAAATTCGTCAGTGTTAAATTCCCAGTGTTAAAGCATGTCAGAGTAAAGTGTTGACGTTATAGAGTTAGATTTTGAGAAATTAACACTATCAGAGATAGAAGCTGATTTGATTCAGTGTAAAATCACAGTGTTACAGGTAACCAACACTTGCCAATGTTATTTCCAACATCCTGGTATTTATGCAGCGCTGTCACTGAAGAATCTTCCAGACGCCATTTTCCCTCAGTTTCAGAATAGCAACTGGTAAGTCAAGCTACCTCAGTGTTTGTACTTTATAGACTTTCTGTATGGAAATACAGTTATAAATGTACTGTTAGTTAAATTACTTAAGACAGAGTTTTAAGTGAGAGTTTGGCGGTTCAATCGTGGTTGTTTGTGTAGTTAGTTCGCCGAACTAAGCAGTACTTTCTTGACTTCTATTCAATACTGGCAGCTATTAGAATGTTATTTTAAGTAATTGAATGTACGTGAGTGTGTTTAAATGGCCGCGTTTTGCACTTTCACAGACATTAAGTAGTTGTATAGCCATGGACTTAACATTATTGGACCTGGACAATTTTTTTTTTTCTCCTGCATGGTGCCTAAAAGCATAACATTTACATGTACACGGTATTTCTGTCTCCGTAAAGGCTATTTTGTGCGCTGTTACAGCCACCAGTCTGTAAAAAAAAAAAATCAACATTTCCTTTAATTCGTATTTTAGCGCCCAAAGGAGCGAGGGGAAGCTCAGTCTCTGCTGGTGCAATTCTTCCAGGCGCCATTTTCCCTCGCTTAAGAGAGTTGCTGAAGTATATCTGGTGAGTAAATTAATAAAGTAATTTAATGTACATAAGTGTGTTTAAATGGCTGCCTTTTTGCTCTTCCTCAGACATTTGTTCACCCAAAAATAAAATAAAATCAACCCTACTTCTTTAATCCGTATTTTAGCGCGGAAACTAGCAAGGGGAAGCCCTGCCTCTGCTCTTGCAGTACTTCCAGATGCCATTGTCTACACTTAAGAGAGTTAAAGATACTTCTCTGGTAAGTAAAGCTACTTAAAGGGTACTTAAATATTTCACCAAAAATGAAAATTCTGTCATTAATTACTCACCCTCATGTCGTTCCAAACCCGTAAGACGTCCGTTCATCTTCGGAACACAAATTAAGATATTTTTGATGGAAGCTGAGATCTCTCAGACCCTCCATAGACAGCAAGGTTACTACCACGATCAAGGTCCAGAAACGTATAAAGGAGATAGGTAAAACAATCCATGTGACATCAGGGGTTCAACTGTAATTTTACGAAGCTACGAGAATAGTTTTTGTGCACAAAAGAAAGAAAAAAAAACAGACTTTATTCAAATTTGTCTCCGCGTCACCCTAGCGTCATTTTGGAGAATATCCACTGAACGCAAACAGCATATGCTTTTCTGTGTCAGCTGCACCACACGGATACGTTGTTTTCGTTCGAATCAAAGTGTACATACAACATAGAAAATGAATGGGGTCTGAGAGCTCTCACATTCCATCAAAAATATCTGAATTTGTGTTTCGAAGATGAACGGAGGTCTTACGGGTGAGTAATGACAGAATTTAAATTTTGGGGTGAACTAACCCTTTAAGTGTTGCATTTTATGGACTTTTGTGTATTGAAGAATACACGTCAGCATGTATTGTTAGTTCAATTATTTGTGATATAGCAAAAAAATTTCTATTTTAATGTGTTATTTGTTGCCTTTGTATAGTTATCTAACAAATGTATCTAAATACTTTTTAAATTTGCTTGTCGTTTTGTTGCAACTGATAATCATCTTTAGAGTATGATTTACAGGTTTGATTTTTAAAGGACCAGGGTTTAAAGGCTGAACGAATGACTGACAGCCACAGTGGAGAAAAGAGTTTGTGTGAACTTTAATGTAAGGACTTAAATATTCATATGTAGCTCACATTAAGCTATCGTATGGCTTCAGAAGTAACACAGAATAATTCGCACAATCCGGGAAAAAAAAACAAACAAATCTCTGATTTGGATCGGCTCTCTCTGACCGATACCCGATCCGAGAAAAATGGCACTATCGGAGCCGATACCCGATATGAATATCGGATCGGCGCATCCCTACTCCATATACTGGTTTTCAGTTTCTCATTTTGTGTTCATACACTAAAAAAAAAAAAATTGGTGGCTTAATAAAAACCAGAATACATATGATAACTTATATGGCGTGGGGAATAAACTAAATAAATGCCTCAAATCCAGCAGTTAAAATTTTCTAAAATTTGCAGCCATATAAGTTTTCTTTTACAAAAATAAATTAGTATTTGACTACAAATTAGCCACCTTGCGCATTCTCTTTAGAGAGCAGCTCCCATCAGCATCTGTGAATTGGTGCATTTATTTAGTTAAATGCAGGTTTGTTCCTTCATCACAACTCTGCAACCTGTGTGTCAAGTAGAATTGCATGTTGTGTTTTGTTCTACTTAGGAGCATTTCTATGATGCACAGAGTGGATCAGGCTTCCTGGCTTGGAGGCTGAAGACTATACAAAGAAAGAAAGCTTTGCCCTCTCTCATTTAGTTCTTCTAGTTCAGCAGTGGTGACAGGAGGTGGTCCGACACTCATCAGGAGTATAAACAACGAACATCAACTTGAGGTTGAGCAGTGTAAACAGGCTATTTCTTTGATGACCCATACCAATGATCAGGAGACTATATTCCAGAAGATGTGAGAGACATTTGAGTATCGACAGAGACTGATCCACAACACTGAAACTTCTGCTACAGTTTTGTCAGTGTTCCCAAGACTGTTGGACACAAAAGGATTAGTAAGTTTAAAATTACTGTGCATATTACTGTAAATAAAGTGTCAGTAAGGAAGCATACAATGAATCCACACAATTTAACTGGTATATTAAAAATCTTTTGAAGTAACATCAATTAGATCTGATAAATTCAAACGTCAGTTAATGTTAAAACATTTTGGCAAATGTTAAAACAATCTTGCATACCACATTAACGTTTATGTTGCCAACAATGTGTTGAGTTTGAGCCGATCTTCTAACTTCAAAAGACTTGGAATAAACTATTTGAATTGTATGAATTAATATCATGCTACCTTTACGTTTTGGAGTTTCAAAGTGTTGGAAGCTGTTGATTTTCATTGTATTTGCATTTCACGAAGCTGAGAGAGTGAGTATTATTAAAGATATCTTTTGTGTTTCAAAGAATGACATCAGGTTGGCAAGTTTTCATTTTGGGTGAACTCTCCCTTAAATAATGTTCTGCTCCTTGCTTACTTTTTTTTTTCTCCCCTATGTATTTTAATGTTTTAGATTCTTCAAGACTTCAGCCTTCTCTTTGGACCTGAAACGTCTGCTAGACTTCTAGAAAGGTGGCCATCATACAAACCGAAGTTGATAAAGGAGGCATCAATGCTTGCATCGACACCGTATCTGGAACAGCTTTTACAATCAGCCAGAGAGGAGCAAGGGGAATCCTGTGAAGACATCTTGAAAAGTATTTATATATTTGCATAATTTATTTTCATTCTTTTTTTTTTTTGTCGATTGATTAAATTTGTATGACATACTAGTTTTTAGTAGTTGAATCAATTGTTTTTGCAGGTTGGGACAGTGATATGTCTACTTTACTTCTGCTGTTGCACATCCTGTCACCTCAACCAGCTGGGAGAAAGAGGACTACTAAGATCAGTGCACGTCAAGCCGTGGATCACCTCGTAGATTTTCATAAGGTGTTATGATTTCAGGAATTTGTACATACTAGGGCTGGGCGATATGAGCAAAAATTCATATCTCTGTATTTTTTTGGCTGATTTGCGGTATACGGTATATATCTCGGTATTTATACACTTTTGTATTTGGATTAAACAAATAAAGTGAATGTAACCATAGGCATATATTATGTTAAAAAAGGGTTAAAATATTTCAGCAAAATGTATATTTTAGTCAGAATTATTGCGCTCCTATTTCATTGCGCGTCTGTTTGGCGCGCATGCACGTGGCGGCGCTCGTTCACTGAAGTCTGTGAAGTTTAGCGGAGAATCTCAAAGCAGAAGGCTCATGCACTTCTGACAGCAAAATGGAAATATTTCCATG